TCATCTACATACAGGTAAAGCCCATCACCTCACAAACACCTTAAAAACGACTCTATAATAGTCACAGCTGTTGTTTCTTACGCTACATTTCCTTTCACCATGTCTTCCCTTTTCTCCCGTCTTTTTGCTCTTCCTCTCATCTGGTCTTTACTTCAGTATAGCCCTGAGATCTCCATGGAAACAGGGTTTAGTTCAGTCAGCAGGGATGTAGAGAGAAGTGAAGAGAAACGGGAACATGGGATGATCAAGAACAAACCTTGACGAGAGCATAAAGTGGCTTTTATTTTAAGGTTTGTACATTAAAAGCAAACCTAACCAGCGGCTGGACGTCACTCATCCTGGAGCTACTTATAGAGAAAACATATACTGGTAAACAGTTAAAACTAAATGTTGAAGAGCATATATAAGTGGTTCTCAATTAAGTTGACTTTATCGGCTACCAATTTCCCCATAACTGTAAAAAGGAATACAATTCAACTTTATTCATTTAACCTTCATCTAGTTTAAACATGCAAACAAATCAGCTATAATATTATATGTTAAGATACATATAGAATATAATATTCTTTAGACGTTTGTGCTACAGGTGGCTTTTTCTTGTTGCTGCAACATATAAAATGCCTGATGAAGAAGAAGGAGTAGAAGAAGAGGGAGAAGTTTGAAGAGAGGAAAAGGAGAAGAAGAAGAAATTGTGACGTGAGAAAAGTCCTTGACTTGATATAAACCCTGTAAGTCACATGTGCGCACGCATCAAGGACCAAACTGTTCACTCGACCAAGAAAGAGGCAAGAACATGATTACACAAGAGTTAGGTAGTCAAATAAATCTGTAAGGAAACAGAAACTTATAGTACATTTAAGGAAGTTCATCAACCATTTCATATTCACTTCAATAACACTATAGGGACTGGGGAAGTTTTAAAAAATATAATCAAAGCATCACCAGGGTATATGCAGGAGTCCTGAAGTCAGATGTAAGACCTTTTAAGACCCTTTCCATACATTTTAAGACCTCATCGCCACTTCGAGTTCTAACCGGTTACCTTGGCGACACACTTGACCTCACATTGACTATATACAGTATTGATTGTCCTTCCTCCTTATCTTCCAACCATTTGGACGCTAACTTGCATTTCCCCATAACGATGTTGCTTAGCAACCGGCGTAAACGGACCTTCACGCTATCAAGCAGTGAGCGTGCGATGTCCTGTTCAGATGACGTCAAACCCAACGGGATGCCATCAATAAACTACACAGAATCACACTACACACCTACGCAATGATTACATTCAGGCAGACTGTAGAATACAACCTCTTTGGACCATTTATATACTTATTGATTTAAATGCCTTTTTAATAATGTATTTGTGCTTAAATGTCGTTTGCTTTTAATCTGTAAAGCACTTTGAATCGCCACGTGCTGAAAAGTGCTATATAAATACAATTGCCTTGCCTATTGAAAACAAGCTACAAAATGTGATACCTTGGAAAATGCCGTTTAATACTTTTTAATAGCCTTCATTTTCACTAAATTGATTTATCAACTTTTAATACTTTTTAAGACCCCGCGGACCCCCTGATCACAGGCCAATATATTCTCGATTTGGTTGAGCTCCAAAAACATTAGGATTTACATTTCCCAAAATGCATTCATCTTTTCGTCATAACCTTCCTATTTTCTCAGACTTGAAAAAGCTTGAGAGCCACAGAGGAAATTGTAAAACACTTTTCTAAGGCACAGTCTTACTCCTTGCGATGAGTAAACTGACCTGCATGTGTACAGTAGCAGCAGATAAAAGATACAAGTTTATCTTTTAACACGGCCTGGACATTCATTTGAGAAGCCCTCAGGAATAGCAGGGGCTAAAATGTGCTTTCCAAATTCACATCTGTAATTTGAAAGATGCGTCTGTTAATGAAGGCCACAATAAAGTGATTTAAAAATGTAACTTTTAGAGTCAAAGGCCCAGCTGTGATGGAGTGACACACTGGGAGAGTTGAACAAGTAAGCAGATGGTTAGCAGTGTGAAGTAAATTAGAAAAATAATACTGTTTTGTAGATTAGAGAATAAATTAAAAGGATGTCTGATTAAGAAATAAACATTATGTACCTAGGCAACAACAAGGTAATGCAGGCATTTTGAAAACCCTCATCAGGATGAAAAACTACCATTGAGTACAAGTACATTTTAAGTCAATTATAGCTGCAGAGAGAAGTGAATAGAAGGTAATAATATGAATCACACTTGTGCTATATTCAGTTCGAACCAAAAACAAGCTGCTGCCACACATTCAAGAACCAGTTATGGTGCATTTTCACTGCAGCGGGTAGCCCCGTTTAAGCGTCCTTAATCGTCCTCAAGCGGCCAGGCCAGTTTTTGGTGGCCTTTCCATATAGCGTAGCACCGGCTAGCGGGTACTTTTTCCCTCTTTTTCCGGCCCCATAAAATGGTGGTTCTATCAGGCCAGGGACAGAGCTGAATTAGTGACGTCAACACTCTCGACTGCTGATTGGTCAGAGAGAATCGTCACAAGATCGCGTGCGAGATCATCCCTAGCGTCGAATATATATCTAGAAGCAAGCTTGCAGCATTTTTAATGATAACAAGCCACACACCAAGAAACAAGTAAAGGATCGCTTCCACATCCTCCATTGTTGTGTGTGTTTTGTGAGTTGTGTCGCATTGAAGATGACGCCACTGCAGTTTTACCCAGCGTCGCTGCGTCGCTCCGCCCAAAAAGCCCGCCAAAAAGCCGATCGCCCCGCCTACACTGCGTTGCTACCATTGCTACCCCAGGTCCTAAACTGTAATGGAAATGCGCCACGGCCTCGGACAGCCAGCGAGGCAGCCCGAGGCCTGAGCGAGGACGCTTAGGGACGCTTAAACGGGGCTACCCCGCTGCAGTGGAAATGTGCCATTAGACACCCTGCAGAGGCTGATTACTTTGGTTATAACCTTGATTTAAACTCACATCACTCAAACTACAGTGCTGGGTTTCCCACGGTGATATTATAGTGGTGGTGCACCGCCTGACCCTATTAGAGTCTAAAAATATGATTTTTTGTGTGAATGTAGAACAGAGTCTAAGGGTTCAATTAGTCACTCTCAGTTGGGAGTGTGTGAAGAGAAAGTCACCGTACGAGCAGCACTGCAAGCAGGCAGAGGTCATATTGGTAATAATAAACCACTAGCTGTACAAGTAATAATAGTCCAGGCTTGAGTTGAAGTAAGATTAAAGTCAGATAGAGACCACGTCAGTTTTTTTTTTAACGTTGTAGTCTGTCTTGATTGCACTAGACGTGCCCACACTTTTTTGGCTGGTGAGCTACTTTTGAAATGACCAGCTCACCGAGGTCTACCAACCAAAAATAAAATCCCAAATTGCAAGGGTTGCTGAATAACACGTTTTATTTATACATGGGATAACTACAAAAGGGCTGCAACAAACGACTAATTTGATAATCGATTAATCTATCGATTAATGAAACGATTAATCGACTATTCGGACTATTACTGTATGCCTTGCACAATTTCTCAAACGCTCTTATTTAGCCATCAACTTTTAGATGTAGCTTGAGGTTGTTTTAGGCATATGGAAACTAACAATGAAGACAATAAAGATTAATACTTGATTCAAAAATACATATATTATTAAATTAACTTAACAAATTGTGAACAAAATTAACATTGCTTTTTATTTAAATTAAATAAATAATATTTCACATCAAAAGAATCAACAATGTTTTAACAAATCATATTAAATAATCTGATTACAGAACTGTAAACAGAATAGCTGAAACTTTAACAAAATAAAGAGTAACTCAGTTTCCTCTAATCATTAACCCATGTTTGTATCATGTAGTTAACTCCGTGTGTTGCTGCTAGCATACATAACACCTGACGTAGAAACGTTACTCGTGGATGGAGCTACAGAGCTGCTAGAAAGACAGTCGAGCCCGGTGCATTCCTCCGTCTGAATGTGGTGCACTTTTGATAAATGTTTAGACAAACTGCTCGTGTTCCCGCCCTTACATGCTAAACACTCTTGGCGACGAGCATTGTCCACCTCAATACGGGTAACATTTAACCACACCTTGGAGCGCTTCTCTCCGCCATCTCCGCCGTGTGTTGCTGCATGTAGCAGCCGCGTGTGTGTAAACTGCCCCGCCCCCTCGCGCACAGACGGGGGAGAGATCTCGTCTCGATTGGAAAGATAAAAAATACACCGACCATAGACGCATTTGTTTGTCTTTTTGCATGTTAGAAACGAGTTGGCGACACTAAGACTGCGAGATAATGTTTGTGTAGCAAGAATACATGACCTTTCTCTTTCTCAACTCGGAGGGAAGTCGCTGTCATATGCCTTGTGAACACTCCGATAATGCCTCTCCACATTACCTTTCTTTGGCAGAGCGACACTTGCTTTACAAATAAGGCAAATAACCTTTGAATGTGACATCACAACAAAATATTCTTCCTCCCATTCTGGGTGGAAGTGGTTTGTTTTTAGCTTCTTGCTCGGTCCCGCAATCATTTTGTTGTTTGTCTCTTGTTTGTCTCTTTAACTTAAATTTGAGTTTTCCCGGCACTTGACTGATTTTGTATCGCTTTGCATTCTGGGTTAACAGACTGGAAAGCGATAGGTCGCTTTTTCTGTCAATCAAGTAAACTCCTGAATTAAGTGGCAGGGAGGAGGGATCAAAACCGGTTTTGTCTATTTTAACGGAGCTGGATTTTTTTTTATGAATGACTCGCGATCTACCAGCATTGCCCCCGCGGTCGACCGGTCGACGTACTGGGCACCTCTAGAGTCTCTGATCGGATACAAAGAAGAGCCTAAAAAGAGCACATATTGACATCTCTAAATCTTTGCTTGGTCTTTACAATACTGTGGCTGAAATACATTTAATAGTATTTTTTAAATAACCAAACACACTGTTGCCTCGTTCATGATGCAAAATTGAAATTGCACAGTCATCATTCATCTGCTTTGACTCACCTTGCATGCAGAATTTGAGTTCTTTTGCGTCCGTGACGGTGCTGGCTGGCATCCGGTCGGGAACTTTCTTGCTCATGCGGTTGTAGTTCCTCCTCTTCTTTGACTCGCCCCACAGGTTGGAGCCGCCGTGCATGCTGGGAATGTTGAGCACAGCTATTCCCTCCAAGGAGGTGTTGCTGAGGTCCAAGATGATACCGTCGCACTGAGCGGAAAATTACGAGAAAATAGAGTAAGACAGAAAGATAAGGACAATGAAAAAACATATAGGACAGGAGCAGCTAAAAAGTAACAAATAATACATAAAGTTATGCCCCCGTTTGTGCACTGAAGCTGTAGGATCACAAATGCGAGGTTATATATTACATTAGATTCAGTTTGCAGAACCACTTACAATACGTGTATTCAAACCAAGTGGAAGCAAGAGTGAGATATTATCCACATTTGTGAGTGTATCCCTTTGAAACAAATAAGTGTTTGAGATGTTCGAAAAGAAACAAGAGATACTGTACGTAAATGCTAGCAATGGTTATTGAGTTGTACACTATAACAAGTTGGGTTGTAGCCCGCAGCTCAGAACAAAGGAGCAAGAGTTGTGACAAAAAGATCATCTAAATGTCTAGAGGCAAAGGAGCCCAATGCTCTGGCAGGGATGTAGTGGTTGACCATAGCTTGGGGGCAAAAAGGAGCAGGTCCCTGAACTGGATGCAAACAGCAACACAGCCAGCGTATTTCAGGGAGAATTTGAGTATTGTGAAAACATTTGGAAAGGTTGAATACAAGGCAAGCAGCAGCATTTTGTATCAGCTGCAGAGGTCTACTGGCTGTCACCTGGATCAGCACCTTGGACTCCTGGACTTGGATGTAAAGGAGGAACTGAGCAGGACTGCTGCAATGTTTGTTGACAACATCATTTTGATTGACAGGGTCAAGGCCACCGTGGTGTTGTTGATGGTGATGGACTGAGGTGAAGGAACCCTTTCTCCTGAAGGAACACAAGCCCAGGCTAGTCAGGGTTGAGTTTGAGGTGGTGCCTTGACAATCAATCCAGAAAAGTGTGCCTCCACCTGAATGTTGATGGGGGAATTACATGAATAGCTGGGTGTCATCAGCATAGCATTTAAGCCATGCCAGTATATCAAGAAAGACGAAGGGATATCAAGTATTCCTGTTCAGATATGAAAGGGTAGAGGGCCCAGGATGGAGCCTTGTGGAACTCCTGTTATTAGAAATAAAACGGTTTCCACGAGCAAGTTGTCAGTGCAGAGCCTGATACGCTCAATCTTTTCAAGGTTGAGAAGAGGAACAGGTTGTTCACTGTGAAGCCTACAAGTCTAGTGTATACGTTTTAAAAAGAGAAGACTCAGTTGACTGACAGAACGAAGCGCTTCGGTCAGTTAAAAATTATTATTATTCTTCTCAGTTGAGTTTTTACACAAAAAGTTGGTTAAAACTATATTTTAGTGTCTTGGAAATACAAATAAAAGAGATACAGGTCTGTCATTTATGAAAGGACTAGGAACATATCCTGAGAATTGAGATATGCTGCTTACAAAGTGCAGGAGGTGAGAAGTAACAGAGTAGAGGGAATAGGGTCAAAAGGGTTCCTTGTAGGAGTTACAAGGTCAAGGACCCCCACAGCTGGAGTGGGGGGAGATAGATAGGAAGGTAAAGGAAGGTAGAGGGAGTAAAGCTAAAGAGGTTGAAAGAAGGGTGGATGGTAAGTGAGTGTGATCGATGAGGGTGAACAGCAGCACAATTCTCCAGGAGGAAAGATGGATGGTGATGAGTATAGTATTTTCCAGGATTTCAAACAGAAGTCTGGAACATGAAATGTAATAACTTGTGATACAAGGATATGGTAATAGCCAGTTTCATATGATCCACCATGTGTTGCTTCCATCTGTATAGAAATCATATTATTGGGGAAGTTATTTTGGTAAAGTCATTCCTTCTGTTCCTTTCAATGCATTTCACTGTCAAATGCCATGAGCTTTGATGCGTATTCTTACATTTATCTAGTTTCCAAACCTTACAGTCACAAGAGTAACTATGAATATATAAAACACGGGCTGACATTGTTTAATTAAAACTGTTGGTAAACCACATTGTTAAATGGGTCTGACAATTCTACTTTTAAGGTAAAGAGTGCAGGATTCACATGTTCTGTTGACGTAAGATGACACAGCAGCACCAGTTACACCCTGGGTTATTATCTAATGGTTTAACTGGGATTTGCTCACAGGCTCTTCTAGCATCTACTGATCAACTTAGCTGTACTGTATGTAATCACATTACCCGTTTTGTCTCACTGCCGTCACTGAAATCAATGCTGCTTTACAGCTTAGCCCTTCCACTTCTCTTCTGCCAGAAGTGTCAAGCCCCCAGCTTTAGCTCTCTCGGGGTCTCTGATTGGCTGCTTTGTGTATAGCTCAACAAATCTAATCAACAGGGTCAAACAAAGCTCATGCAGCTTATTTTGTTCACCTCTGTTGGCATTGACCTGTGATTCAATATAAGAAATAAGAAACTTAGTTATTAGCATAGACATTTACTGACCAGCTAAATGCAAAAATATTTTCTCCCACCAGGAAACCACAGAGCATGTACATGATTTTCCCTGAGTGACATAGCTAAATTTAACATCTAAGGTAATGGACGCCATAGAGAGTAGGGTTGCAGTGTAATATTTGCTGTATCATAGAGTTAGATAGATACCCATGCTTGTACTCCCTTTTCACACCAGCAAGTTTTATTTTTTCCCTGACGCATTACTTGGACAGAGGCCAGATGTGCGGTTGTCTGAAGCCGAAAGCAACTACAAGGGCATTCAGAGCGCACAGACCTCCATCGAGGCCTTTTCAAGGCAAGTAAAAACTGTTTGTATTCAGATCTGCTCCAAATCTGTCTCAGGCTATACCCTTCTACCAAGTTAAATGAAAATCTAACAGGTGTTTTTTCTGTAATCCTTCTGAGAGACAAACCGAGCAACACACCAAACCACAAACACAACATCCTTGGTGGAGGTAATACATATAAATTAGCCGAATGTCAAATCATACTTTATGAAATGTACACTCTTGGCCTAACTCTGAATTATATTGTGCTTCATAGCTTCGTCTAGACTCATCAGATAAGTCAAACAGAGAATTGCAGCAACACATTGCTGTGACTCAGCATGCATGGTTGATTCTTGCTGTGTCAAAGCAGCATAATGTGTGTGTGTGTGTGTGTGTGTGAATGTGTGTATGGAAAACTACATAACACATAGCAGCCTGATATTGAACAGCTCTATAAAGTGTTTGGAGAACAGTGTCCACACTGCAGTTGTCCGTACCTATCCTTAACAAGTGATTCAATATTCCGACCAATTTATTTTAACAGCCCTTATTATAATTTAGATTCACAAGAAAATGTCCCCTAGTTTTGGCGGTAAAATAATGAATTAACTTGCATGAAAGAAAATATGACTAGTAGCTGGAAATGTTCTATCTATGTGGCTAAGTAGCATGCTAACATGCATGTGATTGCATGTTAGACGGGCAAACTTAAGGGCATGTAAAGATCAACGGTCTCCTAGGACTTATCTCACAAACAGTAGCTTCACTTCACTGTTAAATGTGTTAAGTCCTGTCCTCCCTCGTTGAGGTCATAGTAATACAAGCCCAACAATTAATGCAGCTGCTTCACAGTAAAAGCTGTGAAGACAACGCCTTCACTTTAACCCCCCCTACTGTCACCTGGCGTTTATTTTCTACACCCGGTGGTTTAGCACCTCTCACTAGGTGCCCTCCAAAAAGTTTCCTGCCTGTGCACGTCACATGATCTGCTACCTGCCTACACAGTTGTCCCTCAGTTTCTTATTAGAGATGATGACCTTACATGGAAACAATAACTGAGCGGTAAACATGTCATCATCGTCAGTGTATTCTCAGGAAAGAGCTGTTTCACCACCAGCAGTATAGAGCGTTTCAGAAAGTATGTAGAGAAGCCTTTAGCGGGACGGGTGGCGCAGTGGTCTGTGCATCCGATCATCAGATCAAGGGGGGAGTGCTGGGGAACTCCAGTTCGAAACCCGCTCCTGCCGCCACTGCGTCAGGCCGTTGTGTCCTTGGGCAAGACACTTCACCCGGATTTGCTCCTGTGGGTAATATCCACAGTACATGTATGATACCAATGTGTACTTGTAAAAGCGCCTCGATGACCTCGAGGCGTGACGGTGTGGCGCAGTGCGCTGTGCAATGATCATCAGATCATTGCGCTGCTGCGTCTGTAAAGCCGGTGTGTCCTTGGGCAAGACACTTCACCTGAACTTGCTCCTGTGGGTATTGTCCACAGTATCTGACCATTGCATATATGTGTAATGTGTGTATATGTAAAGCGCTTTGAGTCATTGAAAAAGCGCTATAATAAATGTAAGGAATTATTATTATTATTAAAGAGAAACCATAACTGATGGGTTCCAGGATAATGTGTTAGTCACAACATACAAGGTTTAATGAGTCAGATAAAATACAATCCAAGTGTCTTTTTAGAAAAAGGCCCTCAGTCAAGAGGACTTGACTATCCTTGAGATTCAATCAGGCTGACAAATTCTGCGTCAAAACAGGAGCATGGTTGAAAGCCTGTGTACTTGCGTGAAAAAGAAAATTACTTGATTATTTGTTCTCTGCTGAGTCTGAGTGTTAGATAAATATGTCATGGTAACTTTGCAGGAAGTAACATAAATCAATTTTAAGTTTTAAACGGGATCATCTCACATAATGCAATGAGAAATACTATGTTTTAATGTCAATTGCATACCACTAGAGCACCATGTATGTGTATTAATCTACCATTGAAAAGTAATTTCAAAAACATTTATGTTTCTTTTTTAAGAAATAAAGGAAATTCATTAGCTTGAGCTAATGAAATCCTAAATATTTCAACAAAAAATGAAAAACAATTCAAAAAATGTGCTTACATACAGTATGGTTATTCGCTATTTTCCCAATGGTTTTTGAAACGGTGAGTTTATCGAGTGTTTTCTCGGAGTCTTGCTGTGCTTCAAGCGACCATGGTGACAGATTATACTGCGCTGTGTGACAGAATGAGGCAATCAGTAACTTTATGGAGCATTAATCTGATGGTGTACTATAAATAGCCCACCTTATTAATATGAGAAAACTACTTTGTTGTGAATATCTGCAACACATTAAAGAACAACAGCATCTAAGAGTCTGTCAGTAAAACGGTGGAAAAAACAACAATCTTGACATGTAGTGTACACAACATGTTCCATATTTAACTTTTTCCTTTGCATCATATATATTCTCAGGTATTTAAAGATATTTTCCATCTTTTTGGAAGTCTCAGTCTGTAGGCTTGGCTTGAGAACTGGTTCCTGAACAGACCAAGTACGAAGTGTGAACTGTGTGAATATAATAGCTCCCACTGCTCCAAGTAGTAGGATGGGTTAAATACAGAGAGTACATTTGATAGTGTGCCAGTGCTTTGTAACAATTACAAGATTTTCAGACTTCAACTCACCTCCACTTCTATGCATTCGTTGAGTTTCTTGCAGGTGGCCGATATGGTCTCAGTGGTGCCGAACTCAAAGTACCAGAGCTTGTTCTTCATTCTGAGGAGAAACAGAGGACAGACATGTTTTTAGACGAACATATAAAAAAAGATTGGCTTTCACACGAGCACAGTGTTTCAAGCCTACAGCCTGACTTGCTTTCGGGTGCACTGGACACATATTGAAGCTGTCCGATTGCCTTTTAAGTCACGTCACATTTTGGATTTGACAGCCCTTGCAGCCATGTGACCACGAAGGTCAAAGCTCCATCCTCAAGCATTAAAGTGTAGACACTGGCCACTGGAAACACAGCAAGTTAACCCCACCATCTTTCCTTCTGTTGTCCACGCTTTCATTGAAACAGTCCACACAGTCGCCTCAGTAAACATATGTTGAGTTGAAATATCCACATTGCCTCTGGAGGGGACACAAGGTGAAACATTGCTGGTGGAGACTGTATGATAAGGGGAAATATTTGTGTGATTCACAGCACTCGAAAGCATGCCACAGGACTGACTCAACAGCGGTTCATTTTTGCCCTGCAGAGGGTTTGTCAGAGGTGACCCGATCGCTGTTTACGTCCCGATGTCATTTGGTGCAGTTTTGGCACAGGACGGTGGCTGAATAACAAAGTCAAGGTGAAATCTCTGCTGGACAGGGGAGTTCTCAACAGTGATAAATGAAGGGAAAACAACTGGTGCAGTAACTGAAGACAAGTGGAGGTAAAGGGAATCATGTCACAAAATGAATAACTATTATAAGTGCAGGACCATAAATTGCTATTAGCTTATTTCCATCTGTGCAGGTACACAATGAACAGACACTAAAAACATAGCATTGTCTCTATCACACCAACAATTACAATAACAGATCACCTTACAAATACCAGTAGATTGATCAGTAATACTTTACAATTACAATGCATTTACTCAGGTAGCCCACACTGTTGTATTGTATATGTAAGTTTTACATTCTGACCTTTCTGTCGGATCACAAAGTCTGTGCAAATAGCAATAATTTGGATGCATCAATAAAGAAAACACTTCCAACATCTTTCCACTATACCTCACACCAACTTAATTTACACACGAGTCGGCCAGATTCGGACTGTTGGAAGTGTCTTTGGCCCTAGTCAGAGACTCTCTATGAGTTTAAGCATGTTTATTTGGACGGAGAGCCATTTGGTAAGAGAAAACACTCTGATTGGCTGTCAGGGGAGGGGCAAATGTCCTCCTTTGTTTTATCTTGGGCCGTCAACTGCCTCCTGGTCATGACTTCATAGCTTCCCCATTTGACCCTTTTTGATCTGGTGTTTTGAGAGATGTATCACAATCTTTGAACAGACTGGGGTTATCGACTCTCCCCTGCTATCTTATACAATATGAGTGTTAGAAAGAGAAAGGAGTATCTAAAGCTTTAACCACAAGTCTACAAAAATGATTTGTAAAGGATGTACTCACCCTTAAAACCCAGAGAAACCCTACAAACATCATAACTGATGTCTCTACAAAGACAAATACTTCATAGATCATTTAACAAGCTGCTGATACTGATAACACAGCTATTGCCACAACAGCTCAGTACCATGTGGGCAAACCATTAGCCGCTTTCACACCAAGTACTTTGCCTTACTTAGTTCCCAGCACTTAGTACCCCCATGGAACTAAGAGCCGATCGCGTTCACACCAGAATAAATTCCCTGAGGGGAGATTAGGCAAATGAAGCCGCTAACGTCACTGATGTCACTTCTTCTTCTGCTTTGGGTTTACTGGCAGGCCGCAAACAACTTCACGGTGTATACTGCCACCCGAAGTCCCCGGCTGGAAGTCCCCGGAGTTGGGGACTGGCTTCAGTTGAAGCTGCTGGGACTCCAAGCAGCAACTTTTCAGAGTTTTACGGGGCGTGGTTTGCAATTCGCCCAGCCAATCAGAAATTGGAACTTTTTTCTCCTCAGGAAAGTACCACCTTTCTAGCAGGCACTAAAAAGGGGGTAAAGGTTCTCATGAACTGAGTTCTCCTTTTGGTGTGAATGCAAAATCCCAGGAACTATCGGAACTAAACGGGAAAAGTACGGGGAATAGTTCCGATAGTTCCTGGGATTTTGCATTCACACCAAAAAGATCTGGAACTAGAACTTTTTTTTGCTAACCTTTTCACCCCTTTTTAGTCCCTGCTAGAGAGGTGGTACTTTCCTGGGGAGGAAAGGGTTCAATTTCTGATGGGAAGCGGTGGAGTGATGAGGAGGTGTCAGAGTTCAGGCGATTTTCCGGCCGGGGACTTCGGGTGGCAGCAGGGCCACCTTAATGCACGGGCTGACCTAGGCTGAAGCCCAGGGGCCTACGGAGATCGGGGGCCGATCATGAGCCAATAAAAAATAAAAAATAAATAAATAAAATTCAAATATCTTTTTTTTCCGGGTGTTTTTTTTGTTTTTTTTAAATAAACAAAGTCTTGACTTTCAGAATATGAAACTTTTATTTCCAAAATCACACGATAAATACATTTTTGAAGCTTGTAAAGGGAAGATGACAGCTCTCACTCACCACTCACTCCCCCTCCCTCCGGCTGAAATTATGAATGTAAGGTGTATAGTAATCATAGATAACACGGCAGGGTCCGTTACAGTTTGTTTTCATCTGATTTCAATTAAACAAATTCTTGGCTTTCAGAATATTAAACTTCTTTCGGCAAATTCAGATGATAAATACAACGTTGAAGCTTGTAACGGCATAATTACAAGCGGAGAACGGAGTAGTAAGTAACGTGACGTCACAGCAGGCATAACAACAGCAGGTGTTTCTCGTGAGTGTTTTCCCCGGGAAACAAGCACACACACACACACAACACACACACACACCACACACACACCACACACACACACACACACCACCACACACACACACACACACACACACCCACACACACACACACACACACACACACACACACACACACACACACACACACCACACACACACACACACACACACACACACACACACACACAACACACCACACCACACACACACACCCACACACACACACACACACACCACACACACACACACACACACACACCACACACACACACACACACACACACACACACACACACACACACACACACACACACACACACACACACACACACACAGAACAGAACAGTAATCCAAACGAAAATATCTTCCCTCCATACTATTTTGATAATTTGCTCCGCTAATCAATCAGATCGATGGATTCCAGAGATTTTTCTCAAAAATGATGTAACAGTCAGTGGGCACCACTTAACAGCCAATCAGAATGAGAATATGTTTCACATGTGACTTATTCAAATTGCGAGTGATTGAGTGACAGATGAAGGTTGTTTAGGAGAAAATGTCGGAGAAGAAAAAGTTTGAGAGTGGAGCTCGGAAAAGGAAATTGTTGAGGGAAAAGGAGTTTCGAGACAAGCAGCTATTACAAAACATGCCGAAGCTGACAGGTTATTTTAAACCTGTAGGCCAGGATGAGGAGGAAGGACAGATGAGTTCTGTACCGAGCGGCAGCGGTGCCGGCCGCGGGGCTTCGGAGCCAAGTAGGCCGTCTGGTTCTGATAGCGATGGAGTAGCTGGAGTAGCGGGAGAGGAAAAACAGACAGGAGGGACATTATCTGTTGGAGGAGATGAGAGGACGACGAGGACTTGCTACGTGGAGGGGAGCCAACGGCAACCGGACAGATACATGAGGGAGGCCCGATACGTCACTCATCTGGAGGAGAGGACCAGGCGCGCGTAGAGCAGAGTGGAGAAGTGCGATCACAGAGCCTGCCGAGGCTATAAATGACTTTGATTTGTTGTTTAAATAGGGGGCCTACAAAAACTATCAGCCCCAGGGCCTGATGGCAGGTTAAGGCGGGCTTGGCAGCATACGCCGTGAAGTTGTTTGCGGCCTGTCAGTAAACCCAAAGCAGAAGAAGAAGTGACGTCAGCGGCTTCATTTACGTAATCCTCCGTCAGGGACTTATTCCGGTGTGAACGTGATTTACTAGATAGTTCTGGAACTAAAGATTTCCGGGAACTATTCCTGGGAAAAGTACTTGGTGTGAAAGCGCCTATTGCCACTTTGGCACTGAGAGCAATAAGAGGACACTTAAACAGAATCAACCTAAAGAAATATTCACACTGTGCGAGAAATATTTTTATTTTCACTCATGTACACTCAAATAATCAGGAGGTAAAACTCAACATGAACTCAAAGCGTACTACAGACTTCAAACAAAGCATTCAAATAATTCATGATGTTTATTGAAACCTAAATGTCTTAAGCCGCTGCACTTGCTCACATGTTTTTCTCCTCGCTAATTGTCTTTCTGTCCCTTGTTCTCTGCCTTTCACCTTAATGCCTCCCCAGAAACCTCTGCCGCTGTCAAATCAGGGGATTATGAGCATATTTGAGATCACAATTAGGAGCAGTTGCGATTCTCAATGAGGCGAGCTGCCTAAACTCATTAAGCTGCTTCCACTTGAGACGGTCTGTAAAAAATGCAATTAACTCATGTTTTTTTCCCCTCTCGTATGGACACAGAGTGCAACAGGGAGACAAACTACTTTTTATAAGCCTTTCCTCTTTTATTCCCATGTTTATGCACCACAAATGCAGTAACAAAGAGGATGTTAAATCATCTAAAGAAAATTGGGTATTTATCCAATTATGGCAGCATGTTTTTATCCCATTTTTAGTCCGATTGTAACGCTGTTTCCCGAACAAAGCAAAACACTTATTAATTATTTTCATCTTAAATGAATGCAGTTGCTATGAAAGATAATATCTCTTTCTCCTGGTGGATATACAACTTTATCTAAAAGAGAAAGAGATTGGCTTGTATTCAGTGAAAGGTGAAACCATGAAAACACTGTTAAGCAAAGCTTGAGGATACAACACTCTGTATCTGTGTACTGTAGCAGCTATCTCTCCCCATTGTGCTCCTCCCTGCAGATAAGCATCTCCCTTAATCCCCAATATGAGCAGCGACCTTATGACCCCCCTCCACCTCTTTCCTGCCCCTCCTCTCTCTCACACAT